AGCCATAGTCACACTTCCTGTTAAGATTGATTATGTGGATTCTCACAGTTTTCAATTTGACATGGTCCACAAGGGTGTGCATGGTAGTCCGTATCCTCCGCTACTACAACGTGTTCGGCAGGCAATTGTGCAATTACAGTGGACCATCTGCAGGAGGCTTTCTGGCACAGCAGTTTTCTTGGTCATAACTGGCACAAACTGATTGTCCTCCAGCTTCCATCCCCAATCCACTGCATTCATGTCACTCTCTCTTTCCAGCCACACCATGATCTGGTAATACACTCTAGCTATGATATTTAGTCGAGGACTTGGTAGGAGGAGACGTTCTGGGGTAAAAAATGACTTGGCGGACAATTTTCTTGATCAAAAGGTTGTAGCGCAAGAGGCAAGTGAATCGTGCCACTAAAAGAACTGCCATCGCCTTGCTCCCAAGGTCCTCTATGACACTGTTTGCTTGATAGAAACGCATTCGCACAGGTCTGAATGGTCAATTCACCATTCACAAGTTTCTGGAATGCTGACTTTGCCAACACTGAAAATGCGGTAAGTTGTGTCACATCCTAGCGTGGATAAACAGCAACTGAGAACACATGTCACCCAGAACTTGTTTCATCTCACTGATGTTGTACACCTTAGGAACTGTGGACTTGTCCGAACGAAAATAGAGGCCCCTATTGTTTGCTTCAGCATAGTGGAGGAGAAGAATGAGCAGGTCTGTATCCTCCCTTATCAAGGTCGTGAGCTGATGTTGTGACGCCTTGATTGCAGCCTTGACAATGTCCATGTCTGCATCCCCTAATGCATTGATAACAGTGGAGCTCTTTCTGTGGTTCCTCAGTTACAAGATCAATAAGTCCTTGTTTGCAAGATCTGGAAAGGAAATCATCCTTTCCTCCAACAAACCAGTTTTTGCATTGAAGCTGATGATGGGTTTGCCCACGTCGCTGATGCGTATTGTCTTTTGATGGAAGGACCTTCACTATAGCCATCAAAACTACGGTTGCTTTTCCATAATGGCGTATGGTAAAGTCAGCATACATCCGTGCAATGGCACCATAACTGTCATCCTTTTTCCATGGCGCGGATGAACCAGGGAACCACCGTCAAGGACATAATGTTCAGTTAGTGGGATAGAATCCATGACAACTTCTATTGATTTCTTGCTTGAATACTTAGCAACTGCATGTGCTAGGCCACCAAAACATGGGGTTAGACATCAAAATTACTTCTCTGGGATGAATAATGAAGGAGTAACAGGCATTTTTAGGATTTGGTGGCTATTCGACGCCATCTTGAAAATTAGACCTTTTTCGTAGTCAGACTGTGGTAGACTTTCGATATGTTATTAAGCACACCTGATACTACAATAAACAGTTAAGAAACCTTTTGTAGGAATTTTTTTAGGGTAAGGTGGTTTTTTTTCATAAATGCAGCCGCCTAATTGCTGGGGTTATACTCGCTGGTATGAGTGCATTTATCCCATCTTCTACCAAAACTCTCACTTTACAATCATGGTTTGATTGCTCCTGTTCTCTTGCATGTAGAGAGAGAGAGAGAGAGAGAGAGAGAGAGAGAGAGAGAGAGAGAGAGAGAGTGGTTATGAAACTATCTCCTTCTCCTATTACCCACTCCTCTTTCATTACTTCTAGGACTGTAAGGCTAATCTTCGTCGGGTCAAGCGGAATTTTATAAAAAGAAACACCGCTGTCCTGACTAAATCTTCTTCTAGTAAATCCTTCTGGTCCTTAGCCAAAAACATCTGTAATAACTTCTATACTTCCTATTTCCTCCTCTCTTCCGACCTGATAACTCTATAGCCAACTCTCCCCCTGATAAAGCCAATCTTTGGCACCTTATTCCCTACTTCACCTTAGACGATTTCAACTCTATCCCTCCTACTCCTGTTCTTCCAACTGAACCTATGCACTTTCCTATAATCTCCACTCGTAGAGTTGCTGGTGTGTTATCCATGTTGGAAGTGAATAACGCACATGGACCGGACGGAATACCCTCTCGTGTTCTGAGGGAGTGCGCTAAAATTCTAGTCCCTGTGCTTGCTCGCTTCTTTTGCCTTTGCCTCAGAACTCAACTTTTCCTTCTTCTTGGAAGCATGCCTCGGTTCAACCAGCCCATCACAAAGAAGGGTGACCATTCCAATCCCTCTAACTATCGCCCCATTGCTCAACTTCATCCTCCTTTAAGATTTTCGAAACTATCTTAACTCCCATTTTCTCCGTCACCTTGAACGCCTTTCTCTTTCGTCGGATCACCAGTATGGCTTTCGCTAAGCGAGATCTTCTGGTGATCTGCTCTCCTACTGCACCCATCTCTGGTCATCCTCTCTTAGGGGTTATGGGGATACTTTCGTTGTGGCCCTCTACATCTCCAAAGCATTTGACAGGGTATGACACAAGTCTTTGCTTTCTAAACTTCCCTCTTATGGTTTCTCTCCCCCACTTTGTTTTCAAATTTCTAGCTTCCTTGAGAGCCGATCCATGGCAATTGTTGTCGAGGAATCGATCTCTCGCTCTTTCTCTTCCAATAGTGGTGTCCCACAGGGTTTTGTTCTTTCACCTACTCTCTTCCTTCTTTTTATCGATGATTTACTTCACACTACGAGTAATTCTATCCATTCTTACGCTGATGATTCTACTGTACTCTTCACTCTTCTTCACATTTTCCCATTCCCCTAATTCTCATTTTTGACCTGTTTCTAGAGTGGATATAATTTCATCCATCAATGCAGATCTGTGCAGGATCTCCGAATGGGGAGATAGAAACTTGGTTAAATTCAATAGTAATAAAACTCAGTATTTATCAATTACACTTTTCAATTTAGATGATCTCCCACCAATCACATTTCAGGATGCAATCATTCTGCCAAATTCTAATATGCTCCCGAAAGCTGGAAATGCTGTACAGATGCCGTAGCTACTTCAGTCCTGAGCAGTTGCTTAGAGTTAATAAGTGATTCATTTGTCCTAACTTGGGGTGGCTCTTCTTTTGCCCAACTGTTAGATAAGGTGGAATCAAAGGCATTTCGTCTGATTGACTCTCCTACTTTAGTTGATAATTTTTCTTCCCTTCTCTTCGCCATAATGTTGCTTCACTCTCTCTCTCTCTTTTACAGGTACTTTAACAGGCATCCTGTACCTCTGTGGATGTCGGTCACACTAGAATAGCCCGTTATAGTACATCCTTCTTTCCTCACACAGCCAAACTGTGGAATGCTCTGTCTTCTTCTGTGTTTCCATACTCATACAATCTGTCTCACTTCAAAAAGCTGGTTTCCAGCATCTTCGTGGTGTAGATTATTTTAATCTTTTTCGTTTCTTTTTCAAGTTCTTTTCACTCTTATTTTTTCGCCTCCTTGGTTCCGTTGTCGGTCGATGACCTGTGCCCGGGTGGGCCATTCTCCGCAAAAAAAAAAAAAAAGTAGTTTCCAAAGCCCACGATGTCACACATCAGTGTAATGAAAGACAGAAGTCGTGTCGTTGTTATATATATGTATGTTTATATGCTGCCTTATTGATTGTATATGTTATATATATGTATGTTTATATGCTGCCTTTATTGAATATATATATTATATATTATGTTACTTCTTACCAAAGTCAGAAAGTGTTTAGGCTTGTGTAAACACGAAATGTGTTAGGCACGTTGTAACCAAGAACAGAGAATAAACGCCCAGCCAGACCGACCATGTGCTTGTTATTCTCCCATTAAATAACGCAAGATACTACAGTCGTAAATTTTTTGAAAACATATGCCGAAGGGCTAAAACTTTTGGTGTGCTCTGCCTTGTGGTAGGGCTCTCATGTTTCACGATATTTAATCTCCGGACAAACCCGACACGAATTTTGTCTTTGATTGTACCTCAAAAACAGTTGAACCATGGAGAGGGGTAGCCAGTAATATCAATGATTCGCACAATTACTCACTTTCCCCGATGATCATTCATTATTAGATATTTGTGTCCGTATTCCACAAATAAAATGGTTGGCTACTATTTCGAACCATCATTTTTTGAACAATTTGAAGCTTGTATCAAGCCAGGCCTGTCTCACACAATAATCTTAGGACATTCCTGTGCAGATAGTGACATCTGACATTTGTTGTTGCGTAATGTTTATAGGACAACTGGTTAAGATGCCAATGCCTGTGTCCTCAGCTGCTGCTCCTGTGTCTTGTATCAGTGGAGATAGTCTAAATCTGGCTCTGATCTGTTGTAAGTCACACCATTGAAAAGTATATTACCACAGTAAATTTTCAAATGCTTCACCATACACTTCAAAACACATGTTATTCAGCGTAAATACAATGCCTTAACTCTCATTAGCATGTCCTTGTTGCATTCAAATGTGATTTTCTGCTTTAGTTCTTCATTGGTTCTTGAACGATCTTGTTAGGCGACAGATTTAAGTTGACCTAAAAAGAACCGAGAGGCGTGAAGTTCGTGTACACTCGAGGAGTCCAGCTCTGTTGGTAGTTTGGGACAATGAGAATACTGTACCACGATAAAGAGTGCTTCACACGTGTGTATAATTGTGTGATACTGTGATGATGCCATGATTTACACAAAAATACTTTGTTCTGCGAAACACTGCAGAAGCAATGAAGATGTCTTGAAATTGAGCTGGATGCACGCCATTATAGTTAATTTTCCTCAAGACTGTGGAAGTCCCATTTCATCATGTCAAATATTGGAAGTGACCTAACATTTAGCTTTGAACTTTGGGGAAGGGAAGTTGGTTAGTGAAGACGCTCTCATTGTTAAAGGAGCTCCGAACCTAAACTTGAACAATTTTACCACTTATTCACTGCACAATTTCTTATTATATAATAGAACATAATTTCCCACAATTCTTAGTTATTGATCACTTTTGCATACTGTATAGGTTTCCTCAACATAATTAAGTTTTTGGTGAAAGAAACTATATGAATGTCAAGTGTACATGTGTATGTCCACACAGAATACTCCCAACAACTATAACATTAACCTTCACAAGGCGAGGATGAGGCATCTCCTCCAGGTCTGCGAGCTCGTCCTCCAGCTGCTGATCCTCCAATACTCGTTTCTCTAACATGTGGGGGTGAAGGTTTTTCTGGGGGGGTTGGAGGGTGTCGTGGGGAGGCCTGGAGAAGGGGGTCACGTCAAGGTCGGGCTGCACTTTCTCCCCAGCCGCTGCCACTACCAACACCGCCGCCACCTGTAAAACACACACCTGTGAGACATCTGTGTGGTAGACAACGTTGGGGGACAGTGAGACCTCTGTGTGCTAACCAATACTGGGAAAGGGACGGAAGGGGAAGAAAGAAATTAATGAAAGTTAATTAGGGAATGTGGAACGAAAAGGGAGGATGAAAGGATGGATGGAGAGGAATAGGTTCAGGGAAGGAACAAAGCAGAGTGTGGGGGAAAAATTAAGAGTAGAAGGGGAGAGGGGAAGATATAAAAGTATGAAGAGGTGGAGATAACAGGGGTCGGAAAGGAAGAGCGGTAAGGGCAGGGAAAGGAAAGGGAGAAGGAAAGGAAGAGAATGATAGGAACAAAAACAGGATGTAGAGGAAGGGCAGGAATTGACAAGAGGAATATTCAGGATAAGATAACAAAAGTAGGTCCAAATGGCTGACAAATTGTCAATGATGATTATATGAAATTATTATTAAGCTCCTGAGAGACATTTTGACTTACACAGGC